GATGATATACTAATATACTTTGAAAACTTTAGAGAATTTATATTAACACTATTTCAGACAACAAACTAAATCAGTATTGTAGGAGGATATAAAAATCAATCATCATAGCAAGCAATAACTGGATAAAAGACTTGTTGGAAAACCCAATTGATAGTAGTAACTGAGAAAGATAATATACTTAAAAATAAGCATCCCAATAAACATATAAGCCAATAAGAGGAAAACTTTAAAATATCCCTTAAAGACAAAAATGTAGCAGATTTATTTTATTTATTTATTTTTATTTTTTGGTTAATCCTCACCTGAGGATATTTTTTCCCCATTGATTTTTAGGGAGGTTGTAAGGAAGGAAGCAGGGAGAGTGAGACAGAGAGGAAGGGAGAGAGAGAGTGAAGGAGAAAGAGAGAAAAAGAAACATTGATGTGAGAGAGAGAAATCGATTGATTGCCTCCTACATGTGCACCAACTGGAGTCACGGATTGAATGTACTTCCCAAGAATATTCCTTTGATCGGAATTGAACCTGCCACCTTTCGATCCGTGCTCTGATGCTCTAACCACTTAGGAATACCGGTCAGGATGGTTATGCACAATATTATAAAGATTTTAATACTTTCTACTGAATGCCATCCCAAAGAAATGCCAAGTTGTTTGTTTTTTTCAACTAGAAATGTTTATACTAATGTTCATATGGAAAAACAAACGTAAAAATAGCTAGGAAAACTCTGGAAAAAAAATAAAGAACAGCTTTGAGAGTTCAGCAGCCTATCAGATATTAACTTTTTGTGGTCCAATGTTGTTTTTGGAATTCAAACAGTCTGGTCCAAATTAATTGATGGGAATGAATGTTGAACTTTTTAATGTTCTTATTGCTCGACATTGGACCTGCTCCTAGCGCCTGGTCTGTCGAGTCAGCCTGGAGGTTGGACCGAAAAGGGTTAATATACTCTGTAACCTCCATAATTATAATATAACTAGAGGCCCCATGCATGGATTCTTGCATTGGTGGGGTCCAGCTGGCCCGCCCTGATGGCCATTGGGAGCAGGCTGACTGGGGCAGGGGGTGGGGCCCACCAGGGTGAGGGCCCATGGGCTGTTTTCTGGTGTGCCTGTCTCCAGTCGGGGTCGGGGTTCCCGTTGGGTGGCAGGGCCGGCTGGAACGAGGGGCCACAGGCATTCTGGTTATTCTGTAGTTCGGTCTATTTGCATATTACCCTTTTATTATATAAGACTAGAGGCCCGGAGCACGAAATTCGTGCACAGGGGTGGGGGTTCCCTCAGCTCCGTCTGCAACCTCTGCAATTTGGGACCCCTACACCTTTTTCTTATCTAGCTAACCTCTTCACATTTAAAAAAATTAACTGAAATACCACCTACACTAGGAAATCCTCTTTGAACAAATCTCTTTACAGTCTGTATTAAGTATTTTCATAGTATATCATTCTTTTTCTTTAGCAGCAACTTAGAGTGGATGCAATGTGCTTCTCATTCTTGCATCTGAATTTTATCTTCTTGCTCTTGTAATAGCAAAGCTTATCCAATTTACATTTGCCCTTCAAGGGCTTATATTTGGTTCAGTTTCTAGTTGGCTCCCTGCTTTTTTTTTTTTTAAGCAATAAATTTGAGTTGTGATAGTAAGCCTCACTTGTAATCAAGCCTGTAGGTCTCCCTATCTGAGTATTTCTATAATACCTATCACTTTAGCATACCAGAGATTGTGTTCATTTATTGAAAATTACAATAAATGTCAACGGATCATTTGATCTTCTAGTAATATTTTATAGCTAGATGTATTATTCTAGTAATTTAACTATTTCAAAATTGAGGCGTGCAGAAATAACATTGAACAATAAAGAATGACTCAAATATCAAAGCATAGTACACTTAGGGCCTCCCTTGTCCTGTGCCTCAGATATCATAGCATATTACACAGTTCACATGGAACTCAGTTTTCTTTAAAATAGGAAGGGATCCCATACTCATGAAGCAGCTACTTCCACACGTATTTTTTTTATTTAATTCACAGCACATACTTTTGTACTAATTGTTGGAAAATCATCCTAGCAATTGCCTTTGTTCCTCTCTGTATTGTTGCCTTACAGTCTGATGTCATTACTGTGCTTTTATCATCCACTCGCTCTAATAAGATTGTGAATTATTTAAGGGCAGAGATCATGAGTTGAGCTTGTGTTTTCCCTATCATGGTGCCTGGATAAATACTCAAATGCCATCCAGTCCAAATGACTGTGATGAGAGAGGCCCACTGTTGCTGGAGACCTCTGATTTTTATTTAAGGGGTCTCACTTGTTCTGCGCCTTTACAGAGGTGTGAGTAGTGGGGAGGCTGAGGGAATTTCAGGGAACCCAGACAGAATTCTTCTCCTAAAAGATTTGCTAAGCTGGCAGCCGGGACCGCTGGGCAATTGTCCAATTAAATCCTGGACACACATCAATAACAAAGGCACTGGTCTCCTACTGCTAATGCCTAGGGATCAAACTCCAGCCTGCAGGAACTCACCCCCGCAGTCAGGACCAGGCCACTGGGTGGACGTGGGCTGGTGCTCCTAACTGTGGGGAGAGGGAGACTTCCCGTGGCTGCAGCCTAGAGGCCCCGGACTCCATGCCACTCACCCAAACAGTTCCATAGCGCAGGCTGGTCAGCAGAGCGGCTTCTTCGCCTGGGATCACGGGGAGGCCTGGCCTGGCTTGTTCGCCCCTCGATCGATCGCGGAGAGGCCTGGCCTGGCCTGTTCACCCTGCGATTGATCGTGGGGATGCCTGGCCTGTTCGCCCCATTATCGTGGGGAGGCATTGGACCCAGACCGCCGCTTGGTGCTGGCGCACACAGAAGCAGACACGGGGCGGGAACATCCACTTGGCGCCTGCACCCGTAGGCCCAGAATGGCTGGGGGCGTTCTAGGACCCCGACTGCTCAGGGCCTGTGTGTGGGCCTACAGGCTAGGAGCGGCCTGGGTACCAAGGATGTTCCCAGGACCCAAGCTGCTCAGCGCCTGCATATGCAAATTAACCTGCCATCTTTGTTGGGTTAATTTGCATACTCTCCTGATTGGCTGGTGAGCGTAGTGGAGGGATGGCAATTTACATGTTTCTCTTCTATTATATAGGATGATACTGGTACATGAATAAACAGATCAGTAGGAAAGAATAGAAAGTCCTGAAATAGAACCAAGTGTATATGGACTTTTAGGATATGATAAAAATGACATTTCAAATAATTGGAGTGTCCATGGATTTGTTTTGACGACTTGTTAAACATTTGGAAAATTACACAATTGCATCCATATGTTAAAAAGCTTGTCTAAATATTAGTAGATGCATTGCACATACTAGTATATTCATTTTTAAAATTCTTTTGGAATTCAACATTTTTTTGCAGAAAAATAAAACCCATTTTTTTCTAACCTAGTATGAAGTAGGGTAAAAACATTTTTAAGGACTTAGGAGATATATATTTATATACCTATATATAATTTTTAATTTTATTGGGGTTACAATGGTTACTGAAGTTATATAGGTTTGAAGTGTACAATTCTATAATACATCGTCTGTATATTGCTTTGTGTTTATCACTCAAAGTTAAATCTCCTTCAGTCACCATATATTTGACCCCCTTTTCCCCCTTACTAATCCCCACTCTCCTTCCCTTTGGTAACCACTATATTGTTGTCTGAGTCTATGAGTTTTTGTTTGTCTCATTTGTTCATCTGTTGTTTTCAGTTTTTTATCCCACGTATGGGTGAGATTATATGGTTCTTGACTTTCTATCTGACTTATTTTGCTTAGCATGATATTCTCAGGATCCATCCATGTTGTCACAAATGGCAGTACTTCATCTTTTCTTATGGTTGAGTAGTATTTCATTATATATCATTTAAATCATCTTTTATTTAGTGTTTCATAATTTATCTTGAATATGAACTGCATTTATCTTTGTCAACCAAAGTGTTATTTTCCTGTTTTCTAATTTTAATAAATGAATGTCTAATTTTTATATTAGATGTTTGTTGATTATTGGTTCCTCTTTTTATGTATTTATATCTGAATTAACTTGTAATGTTATTTAAGTGATTGCATTTTGAAGATTCTAGATGAGATAAAATTTCTTTTTTCTTTTGAAATATATTACTCTAATTTGAATCAGTTTTAACATAGAATTTGAGATGCTCATATATGCTTGACTTTTGCTAAAAAGAAAATTATATAAATGAAGTATCTAAAATGGTCACACAACAAAAAACATAAAAAATAAATAAAATAAAATAAAATAAAGTGGTCACACAAGTACAATATCTAACCCTTAACTGGCTTTAGAATAATCTCTTTTTAACATTTTTTTAATTACAGAATCCTATAGAGGTAGATGAAAAAGAATTATTTGAACCAACATATATTTAATCTTTCTTCCTACCTCTTTTTAAAAGATCATTTTCACAGAACCCTTTCCCTTATCTTTTTTTCCTTCTCTAGTAGTTTTTTATATATTTTTCAGTCTTCTGGTTTTAACTAATAGCTGTTCCTCCTTAATTTATTTACTGAAATATCTGTTGACTATCCTGAGTTCTTTTTCTTCTTCTTCATTACTTCTTTACCTTGTAAATATATTTGTTATTGTACATATATGATATTTTAAGTTTTTGTTTACATGTTTATTTCCCATTAGGTTGTGAACTTCGGATAAGAACTGTCTTAGTTATTTTTTTTTTATGCTGATGTAATAATACTCAGTTATACTGATGTACCAATAGTAACTGTTTAATGGATTAATGATTACAATTTTCAAACACTTAATGATTCTAATACTTTGGAACATATTGTGAACTATATCATATGAATTCATCAAAAACTACCTAAAAAGACTACAGATACGAGAATTTAATTTTGTAATATTTATGTCAGATATTCCTTAATCTTTTAAAGTTTTCTAGTTAGGAAAATATACTAGTTTGTAGGACTATGTGTAAACTTTCTCTTTTTATTTTAGGAAAAACTAATAAAATATGCAACAGATAGTGAGACAGTGGAACCTGTTATCTCACAGCTGGTGACAGTGCTTTTGAAAGGTTGCCAAGATGCAAACTCTCAAGCTCGGTTGCTCTGTGGGGAATGTTTAGGGGAGTTGGGGGCAATAGATCCAGGTCGACTAGATTTTTCAACATCTGAAACCCAAGGAAAAGATTTTACATTTGTGGTAAGTAATGGTAATTTGGAATGACAAGAAGAGTTCTCTGCCCTATTGAGGTTTCTATGTTCCATTTACAAAGAACTATTCAGTTTATTCTTAGCTAACTTGATCTAAACTAGGCAATTTAGGTAACTTCTGACTTTATTCCTTAATACTATTGTAAAGATCTTCAGCCAAAAAAGTAAAGTTTGAGCCCAGTTTAGTGTGCTGTGTTCTTTTAAATAAACTTCCTAATCTATTTTTGACACTTAAAACTTAGCACCTTGCTGACTGGTCATGAGATAACTTGTATCTGCACTTACATTAATTTCAGTAATTTTAAAACTCTACATTGCTTTCAGACCTTAAAATTTCTTAAATTAATCTAAGTGCAGACACAAGTTATATTGTGATTGGTCATCACGGTGTTAATTACGTAAATATTACTATTTTTACACTTATTGCTGAGTGTTTCCATGGGAAACTAATTTCCCAGAGTGTTCTAAGAGTGTGTGTATAAAAAAGTTTCTGAGTTCAAATGACTGCGAAATCCTATAAAACGAAATTAAACAGAACTTTTAACATATTGGTGCACATTATTTTTTGGAGCTTTTCCAGGAAATGACATATTTACAACTTTCTTTCTAAGTGTTAAAAAGACAAAACCCACAAATTGTTGGAGTTATGTAAAAGTTGAATGATTCTAATATATCTTATAAATAGCCTTTAACGCCTTAGATTTAACGTCTTCGCTACAGATTATATTTTGGCCTTACTACCAAACTTAGTTTACCTTACTAGTCTTTCCTTTTCTAATTTAAATTCACCATGGAAGATATAATACAGTTTAGAAAAATTTATACAAACTATCTGATTTTTTTCTTGTTTTTATTGAGACTGGAGTAGAAGATTCGAGTTTTGCCTATGGATTATTGATGGAACTGACAAGGGCTTACCTTGCATATGCAGATAATAGCCGAGCTCAAGATTCTGCTGCTTATGCCATTCAAGTAAGAGTGCATATAGTCATTACTGACTTTATGTTACTGGCTATTAGTAAGAAATTTGTAATTCTGTACTTTGGAAACTCTTATTTTTTTAACTAATATTTTTGTTGTTAAAGTAATACAAGTTCATCATAAAAAGTTCAGAGTACAGAAGTGTACCCTCTCAACAGATTATTATAGGTATTTTGAAAAATTATCTCTCTATATAAATATGTATATTTTCTCCACCAAACAAGGAGATCATATTACTTATGATATTCTGTAATTTTATTTACTTTTGTGTTTAACAGTCTGTCTTGGGTAATTTCCATGTCAGTACAATTCATTTTTTTTTCAATGACTTAGTATTCATTATGAATATACGTTTATTTAAGAAATTTATTTAACACATTTAGATTATGTTTAATGTTTTGCTTTTACAAAAAATGATTTAGAGAACATACTTATATTTTTGAGCACTTTGAGTAAATATGTTAATAATATAAATACCCAGGAATTAAAATGTCTCAGAGCAAGTACAGAGCTTTGTTAAAAAAAAGTTTTACCGGTTTCTATTCCCTTGACACATGTTTTTTATCAAAATTTTAAATTTTTACCAGTGTGACAGATGAAAAATGCTACCATTTTATTTTACTTTCCATTTAATTAGGAGAGAGGTATAACATCTTTTATATGTTTATTGCTTTTTTATGAATTTCCTCTAGCTCTTTTCCCATTTTTCTCTTGGTAATTGATATATTTTTAATTGATATGTAAGACCTATTTGGATATAATGTAAATTAACCCTTTGTCTACCATACATGTAATAAATACTTTTTCAGTGTGGCTTTCTTTTTTCATGTGTTTTTTTTTTCAATTAGAAGGTTTTTTTTTTGTTAGATATGCACGTCTAGCATTCATGGTGAGAGGTCTCTGTTACAGATAAGTATTTGGAGCTTTATTATAGAGATGGTACTTAAAACTATGATTCTGGATGAGATGATCAAGAGAGGGAATATTGATAGACCGGTTCTAGAAATTGAGATCTGGACAATGAGAGGTCAGTGAGAAGAAGAGGGAACAATTAAAACTGAGAAGGAATTGCCAGTAAGGTAGAATAATGTATTTTGGAAGACAAAGAAGTGTTTCAAGAAGTATGGAGTGATTCACTGTATTAAATGCTGATTACAGGATTGACAATTGACTTGGCTGTTGTAACATAAATGTCATTGATGACCTTGATTAGAGCAGTTTCAGTGGAGTATAGAAAGCCTTGTTAGAGTATTTTAAAGAACATATGGGAAGAGGGGAATTATAGAAATTACAGAAACTCTTGAGTGTAGAAGAATGAGAGTGGCTGGGGATTGAGTAAAGGTGGGGAAAATAACAATGCTTATATGTTACTTGGGAACAGTTTAGCAGAAGGGAGTAAAGTGATGAAGGAGATAATGTAATGCTATTTTAAGTAGGTAAAGAGATGTGGAACGTAGTGTAGAAGTGAAAGGGATAAGTAACCTTAATTAACAAGAAAAACAATCCATCTGTAGTAACAAGCGAAAAAGAGCATGTGGGCAGTGATACTGATATTGCCTAGTTGAGTAGATATGAAGATAGAAGTTGTAGAGGTCTCTGCTGATTGCTTCTGTTTTCTCAATGAAATATGAGGCAAGGACTGCAATTGTAAGTATGCTAGCATTTTTCAGTGTAAATGGTCCTGAAACCCAAAAGTCGGGGAATTAGTAAGTCTGTCACTGAAGGTTGATGAAGAAAGTTTCTGTGAGCTAAAGCAACTTTGCCAAACATAAGAGAAAGCTGACTTCAAATAAAATTTTTATAACACTTTAAAGTTAAATGAAAGTGAGTTTGGGATATTTCTGTATTTGGACTTTTCACATATTTCCTTACTTTAATTTAAAAATACTAAATATAAAATACATTTTGCTATATAATGCTTATATTTCGTAAGTATTAGGATAAAGCTATGCATATGGTCATTTTTAATGGAGTTTGAAAGAAAGAATAATATATAATGGAAGATACAAAACACTAACATATTTGTGTAGTTTTGAAGATTGATATTAGAGATAAAAGATTTTTTTCTTCATGTATAAAATCCCAAGAATTTTATTTTCAGGAAGGTAAAATATAAACATTTAATTCCTGGGCTTGAATAGTAAATTGATCTTTAACATTTGCATCTTATTTTTTAAAAATTTTAAGCTCAATATTTTATATCTAGAATTTGAGATATTTTGTGAATTTTTGAATTGTGGATTATTAGTTGCTTTCATTAAAATTCAGAAATGGTGATAAATTAAAAATAAATAAATATATAACAAGCAAAAATTTCAAAAATGATTAAATTCTAAGAATTATACTTTTGCAAATATAGGAAATTTCGATATTTTTCTTCCAAATACCTCTCAATTTTATATTTTAATACATATTATATATAAAATATAAACTTCATGTTCAAATATTACCACAGCTTTGTGACCCTGAATAAGTCATCTAAATGGTTCTAAGCACTGAAATAAATGTCCTATGCAGGTCCATAACCCCATTTTATAATTCTGTGTATCTTTCTGTGTTTATTTATAACTATCATATGTGGAATGTTAGTGAATGTAAAGGTTTACCATCTTTACTAGAGATTTAAAAATGTAAAATATGCATTTGTAGGAGTTACTTTCGATTTATGACTGTAGAGAGATGCAGACCGACAGCCCAGGTCACCAATTGTGGAGGAAATTTCCTGAGCATGTTCGGGAAATATTGGAACCTCATCTAAATACTAGGTTGGTGGACTCATTAAAACTATTTTCGTAAAATTGTGTCTAACTGCTAAAGTTAGTTTTATTTTTGATACAGTATTTTGGCATTCAAAGTTGTTGTTTTAGTATGTTTTAATATGTATTTTCCACTGTGATTTATGTTTATTTATAATTTTGTTAAATTGAAAGTACAGTTTGCCTGTTAGTTAAATTCTGTAACTTTAAATATTTAGGCATATTTATTGAAGCTAAAAGGATTGATTTTTTAAAAATTCAGCCAACATAGTACTTTGGAAGAATCTACTATAAATTGAATATGAGTTGAAGTTTTTGTTAGGTGTAATTAATATAGAAATTTAAGAGTTTAAAGGTAATCTCGATTAGAGATAACAGATTTTCAATCCTAGCCAATTTCTGCTCATAAAGACATTTTCTACCTCTACTTTTTTAAAGCTATAATAAAAATTATACTTATTTGTATAATTTATTATATGTATACCCTAATAAGCATTACTGTCTTAATCTTAGTTTTGCTAACAAGAATAACTTTTAGCAGAGGTGATCTATTTTAAATAGCTAAAATTTCCTTATATTTTTCTATTATTATTTGAAATGTACCTCAACATTTATTTTCAAAGGAAAGAAACACAGACCTAATCTAGTTAGATACATTTCATGATAAGCACAAATGAGGAAATCTGAGAGTTACAATCTTAAATTCTCTTAAAAAGGGAACAGTATGGCTCTAGCCATTTTGGCTCAGTGGATAGAGTGCCAGTCTGCAGAATGAAGGGCCCTGGGTTCAGTTCCAGTCACGAGCACATACTTCGGTTGCAGGCTTGATCCTGGTTGGGGTGCATGCAGGAGGCAACCAGTTGATGTTTCTCTCGCATCGATGTTTCTGTCTCTCTCTCTCTTCCCCTACCTTCCACTCTCTCTAAAAATTCAATGGACAGAATGTTGAACCTCAGAGGGAAGACAGGGGAGGGATGGAAGTGATCAACCAATGAACTTGTATGCATATATGTATACCAGGTGTACCGGTTAATAATGCGGATTTTGTAATCAAAGAAAACACGATAATTTCAAGAGAAACATCAAAAGTGCTTTATTCAAAGTAATGTCCATCACTAGCTATACATTTCCCCCATCTTTCAGGTAATTTATGGGGAAGGTCCCAATAGAACTTTTCTTGTTTTGAGGCAAACCATTCAGAGACCAAATTTCCACTTCTTCGTACGTTTTGAAGTGCTGCTCAGAGAGTGCGTGTGCCCTCAATCGGAACAAGTGGTAATCTGAAGGAGCAAGGTCTGGTGAATAGAGTGGGTGGGTTAATACTTCCCAGGCAAGATCTTTTAACGTGTCTTTAACTGGTTTTGAAGTGTGTGATGGTGCGTTATCATGAAGCAAAATTACTTTGCCGTGTCTTCTGGCTCATTCTGGTCATTTCACGATCAAAGCATGGTTCAAATTGATTATTTGTTGCCGGTAGTGGTCAGTATTAACTGTTTCACCTTGTTTTAGAAGCTCATAAATACACCACACCTTCCTGATTGCACCAAACGCAGAGCACTGTCTTTGTTCCAAAGCAATTTGGCCTTGCAGTCGATGTTGATGGTTGACCTGGATCAGCCCATGATTTTGTGCATTTGGGATTCTCAAAATAAATCCACTTTTCATCGCCAGTCACAATTCGATGCAAAAAAGACTTTCTTTTGTGCCATTGAAGCAGCATTTTACCGATGACTTTTCGGTTTTCCATTTGTCTTTTGTTCAGTTGATGTGGCACCCATTTTCCTTCCTTTAAAATCTTTCCCATTGCTTGTAAAGGATAGGAAATTGTTTTCTGAGCAACCTTTAATCTTTCTGCAAGTTGTCTTTGAGTTTGACATGCATCTTCATCCAATAATGCTTGTAATTGTTGGTCATCAAACTTTTTGGGTTGACCTGGACGTTCTTTTTTTTTATATATACATGTAATTATGGATGGCATTCTACCTTAGGTCTTTCATTTTTTTTTTTAATATATTTTTATTGATTTTTTACAGAGAGGAAGGGAGAGAGATAGAGAGTTAGAAACATCGATGAGAGAGAAACATCGATCAGCTGCCTCCTGCACACCTCCTACTGGGGATGTGCCTGCAACCAAGGCACATGCCCTTGACCGGAATCAAACCCGGGACCCTTCAGTCCGCAGGCCGACACTCTATCCACTGAGCCAAACCGGCTACGGCCTTAGGTCTTTCATTTTTGTCTATTTATTAAAAATTTTTTTTAATTAAATCTTTATTGTTCAGATTATTACAGTTGTTCCTCTTTTTGCCCCCCATAGCTCTCCTCCACCCAGTTCCCACCCCACCCTCTGCCCTTACCCCTCCCACTGTACTCATCCATAGGTGTACGATTTTTGTCCAGTATCTTCCTAGACCCCCACACCCCTTTCCCCCCAAGAATTGTCAGTACACTCCCTTTCCATGCCCTTGGTTCTATTATATTCACCAGTTTACTCTGTTCATCAGATTTTTTATTCACTTGATTTTTAGGTTCACTTGTTGATAGATATGTATTTCCTGTTCATAATTTTTATTTTTACCTTTTTCTTCCTCTTCTTAAAGAATATCTTTCAGCATTTCATATAATGCTGGTTTGGTGATGATGAACTCCTTTAGCTTTTTCTTATCTGTGAAGCTCTTTTTATCTGACCTTCAATTCTGAATGATAGCTTTGCTGGGTAAAGCAATCTTGGTTGTAGGTTCTTGGTATTCATCACTTTGAATATTTCTTGCCACTTCTTTCTGGCCTGCAAAGTTTCTGTTGAGAAATCAGCTGACAGTCGTATGGGTACTCCCTTGTAGGTAACTGACTGTTTTTCTCTTGCTGCTTTTAAGATTCTCTCTTTGTCTTTTGCTCTTGGCATTTTAATTATGATGTGTCTTGGTGTGGTCCTTTTTGGAGTCCTTTTGTTTAGGGTTCTCTGCACTTCCTGGACTTGTCAGTATATTTCTTTCACCAGGTAGGGGAAGATTTCTGTCATTATTTCTTCAAATAGGTTTTCAATATCTTGCTCTCTCTCTTCTTCTGGCACCCCAATAATTCAGATGTTGGTACGCTTGAAGCTTTCCCAGAGGCTCCTTACACTATCTTTGTATTTTTGGATTCTTTTTTCATTTTGTTCTTCCGGTTGGGTGTGTTTTGCTTCTTCGTATTTCAAATCTTTGACTTGATTCTTGGGATCCTCTTGTCTGCTGTTGGATCTCTGTATATTATTCTTTATTTCAGTCAGTGTATGCTTAATTTCTAGTTGGTCTTTTTTCATATCCTTGAGGGTCTCACTAAACTTATCGGCGGTTTCTAGAAAATTCTTGAGGAACCTTATAACCGTGGTTTTGAACTCTATATCCAGTAGTTATCTTTTCTCCATTTCTGTCATTTGTGACCTGTTTCTTTGTCTCCACATTTTTTATGCTTCCCTGTGTTGGTAGAGTGGCTTTGTGTGCTAGGTGTCCTATAGGGCCCAGTGGCTCAGCCTGCCCAATTACCTGAGGTGGACAGTCTTGGTGCACCCCTTTGTGCACAGTCTTATTGTAGTTAAGCCTTGATTGTTGTAGGTATCACTGGGAGGAATTGACCTCCAGGCCAATTGGCTATGAGAATCAGCTGTGTCTACGGTGGGAGAACTTCTGTGCTGAAGACACCCTTCTGGGGCAAGACTTGCTTCAATGGGGCTTTGGTGCTCACTGAGTTTGCCCCCTGAATGTGTCCCTTATGGATCTGAGGAGTTGTAATCTGGATGGTCCCACTCTGACCACTGGGTACACTGGCTCTTGGATCTAAGGAGGTGCTAATTTAGCCTCTGCGTGAGGCTACCCAGCAGGAGCTATGAAGAGATCTGCAGATTCCCCTTCCTTGTTTGGGGTTGGAGGTGCCCAGATGAGGCCCAGCTGTGAAGCAATACAAGCTGCTGTGGAGCTTGGGCCTTCTCTTGGAAGTTCTGCGTCTGCCTGGCCCAGCTGCAGTTTGTTAGGTAATTTTCAGATTGCAAAGGGCCAGGGCATTCATATGCAAAAGCCTCTGCCGCAGCTTGGGTGGGGCGGGGTCTCAGGGAATCAACAGGGCAGAGCAAACAGCTATGGCTGATCCTCAGCCTTGCCTTAAGTGGCTTTTCTCAGTGTCCCGTAATAGCTGTAAGCACCTCTGAGAGAAAGCCGTCCTCTAGTTCTGAATTCTGCCTGCTGCCATACAGTCCAATTTCTCCCTGTATGAGTCTAGGTCCCCAGAGACTTCCCAGAACTGGAGTTCAGAGCAGTCAGGGGCTTGTGACTCCCTCCTGATTGAAAAAGACAGCCGCATCCTCAGTTGCCAGCCCTAGCCGTGTGCGCCTCCGTACCTCTGCACTTTACTTCCGCACCTTCTCTGAGTCTCAGTGTGCTTTTCTCTTTCCTTCTAATTGTAGAATTTCCACTCAGCCAGCCTTCCTGTAGTTCTGGATGATGTTCGTTTTGTCTTTTCGTTGTATTTTTGAATTTGTTGTGGGAGGCAGCAATTTCCAGTGTTTACCTATGCCACCATCTTGGTTTCTCCTGACCTGGACGTTCTTTGTCTTTCACATTGAAATCATCACTTTTAAAGCATTTAAACCAGCATTCACAAGTATCTTGAGATGGAGCATGTTCACCATAAGCTTCCCACAGTATACAATAACTTTCAGCAGCACTTTTCTTCAAAATAAAGTAATGAGTTAAAACTTCCTGCACCTGTTCTTTTTTTGGCAAGAAATTCGAAATTTTTAAGCATAAAAATATCTATGATGTTAACACCTTCAGCAAATTTAATATATGAAGTTTTGAAGCTTTTTGTCAATACAACAAAATAGCATACATATCAAATCGCATATATATATCAACATATGTGTAACTCCATCTCTGGAAAAAAATCTGCATTATTAACCAATACACCTGGTAAACCGTGACTATGTGGTGGTCAGGGCCTGGGGGTGGGGATGGGAGCTGGGAGAGGTTAATGGC